ATTTGTCAATCAAAGGCTCAATGACCTTAACTAAACTCAAATTATATTAAACAGACACACATGACTTTCTCAGTACAGACTGATTTTGTTATAGAACTCGTGTCTTTTTCAATTGACTTTCTCTGAAAGCTAACTGATGTCAACATAAATTTGCACATGTTGGCTCCTGATTTCAAATAGAGCAGCAAATGATAACTTACAATGGCCTGTTCTGGCTTTTGGTTTACATACAATCCATAAGTTCAAATATAGACCTACCTGCCATGGTGAAAATCAGGGGTGAACGAGAATGCCTGAGCTCAGATTGTAGACAAAAATCATTTGCATGATTCCCACCAGCCCCATCTATTCTCATTTGTGTAAGAGCGCAGGCAACATTACAGATTGCTATAATCCCTCAAAGCTGACATTTGTGATGTGGCTGTTAATGTTAGTGGTTTGTGCCTCCAGGAGAGGGAATGATTTGTACAGCCGTTTTCCCTCAAGAAGTTGGCACCAGAGCAGGTGATTGTGTTACAACAATGCTGTTGCATAAAAAAATGCACTGAATGTTGCAAAGCCAAGAATTATAATGAAAACATCCTGAAGCCAGCTTGGCATGGATCAGGTTGTAATGTTGAGTCAATGAGAAAAGACAGCAACAATATGTCTCCATCTGTTTTCCAGCTCTGTGTTGATAGGTTTATCAGCTGAAGAAAATTAATGTACACCTAGTGTTGTTGATATTGGCCATGAGTCCTTCGTGACGGAAGACCACAGACAGGTTCTGTTCTTGAGTAAAAACCTGGTGGAGCAGCTTTCATCACCTTATGATTCAGCGCAGGTAACGGCTCTGTAAGAAGGCTGAAGTGCACAGCCATGTTTCTGTCATCTGGACTCTGTAACTGGAGTCTGTGCTCCAGCTGTTCCAAAGCCTACTTGCCATGTACAGTGTTTGTGATACCCTGGGAAATACAGGTAGAGCAGCAGCGGGGGATGATCATTCCCACTTCTTAGTTACAATAAGTCTGTTGGGAAGGCTGTGCTTGTTCATTTCAGCACAAGGAAGCCAACTAGAAGAGGGGCAGCAGTGGAGGAGGGAGGTCCTTCTACTGTTACCTTCAACTCCCAAGTGGTCCTCACCTTAGTGTTTGAAAGCATGCCATATAAATGAAGGTGTCCACTCTGTTCTTGCTCAACTCAGCCTTGCATCAGAACATATAAATAACTATGTTGATACAAAAATGCATTATCTAGATAAAGAGCCGAAAAAAGGCTGCCAGCATCCAAAGAAGAGCTTTAGGGTGTCGTTCAAAAAGCCTGGAGATCCACTCCGGAAGAATACTTAAATAAGAAAGCCGTGCTGTGTGTAATACTTATCAAAACTGTACAGATTCTATTTTTATTTTGCATATAACACTCCCATTTATGTTTGTATTTTTCAGTTAATTAACTAGTTTTCAGTTTCATATGACGAAAGTATGCATGGATTTTCCTAACTCCAAAAAGATGCAACTGAATTACGCAGAAGTAACCATTAGCATAAGACCAGCAAAGCTGTCCTCCAATGGCAGAAAAGCCATGCTTTTTACTGTATGAATTTTAAAAATTGAAACAGTATATCAGCCACAAAGCTCTAAGGTAAAATATGTGTTTGTGTGTTCCATAAATTTAAAAGTGCATAAGCAAGAATCAACGTACAGCTGCCTTAATGGTTATTATCAAAATTTGTGGCAATAAAAAAACTATAAAAAAGTGAGCAATCTATGAAGTAATCCACATAACAATGTAGACATTTTGAAAAAATGAATGCGTACATAAATTATATGGCACTACCTGCAAAATATTTTTTAAACTCCATGTAATTTCTGAATCAGTTTATTAAGATTCCTAAACTTGTCATCTGAATATGTTAATGAGTAAGGGCTCAGGGCCCCAGTGCCCCCGATAACTCGGGATAATATTGTTTGCCTCCACAACCACCCCCTCCTTGCTCTTGTGCCTGTGACCCCATCAATCCTTTGCTCGCTCAACCTTTGATCAAATTAAATATTGAACAGGCCATTAATAATAAACAAGGAAGGAAATATGAATACATGAATGACTAAACTTGATGACCATGAGAAACCTTATCATGCAGACAAACTTGAGCATAAGAAATAATTTAAACTTGAAGGGATATTCCCAACAGTGGTTGCGCAGGTGTTTTTTTTTTCAATCAGGTATTGAGAAATCAAAGTTATTACTTTTTAAAAAATCTTCCAATTTTACAGGTGACGTGACATATTCTTTACTATGTGAATGTGCTGTAGTGGATACTTTAACATTTGGAGGGTTTAACAATGTTATGGCACCTGAGACTAAATGGATCCCTTCTTATTCCATCACTTGAATCTAATATTTGGGGTAAAGCTTGGGGGAACAACAATCTAATAATTACTGTTTTATTACTTTTGTGGTATATTTTTCTCCCCACAGGCATTACAATTTAATTTCTTCTTGGTCTCAACCGTAATACACAGAAATACTCACTTGTTTAATGTACTTATGTGAGGTGAAGAAGGCAGGCTCAAAGTGCAGCAGGAGTTTGCTCACTTGGACATATTGTCTCGCTTATATTTGACCCAAAATCCTTACGTTATCCTGTTTTGTGATTCTGACGAGGGTTATTGCTTCAGAGACGGCTTATGTCCATTTCTTAACTACAGGTGAGGGTTTGTTTTTGTTTTTTGTAACAAGAGCTCAATACTGAAATACTTTTACCCCGCTTCAGACAATGAAACAAATTTTTACTTAATGGAGGACAATAATTAGTCACAGAACATGCAGCAGCTGCCATATTTTAAAGTAGCTAATGTGAAACTATAAAACGTTTTAATGTTCTGGCCCCAAAAGTTGCAATATTTCAATTATGCTCTCCAACAGTTCTCAGACAGAGTTGATGCAAGTTGTTATTAGACTGAAAAATAAAAGTGACGGTTTTAAAGTCACGACCGACTATGAGAGGGGGTGTTTTCTTTGTTTCTGATTCAGAAAAAATAATACATTGAGGCTGTGCCAACTGCTATTTACTGTGTTAATTTAGCTTTGTCTCTGTGGACATTTCTCCATCAAAGCTGGGGTGCAGTACCATGACATAATTTCCAAATGTTTTCTGAGTCCTAATGTCTGTAACCGAGAGCATCTGTCAAAAATGACTCAACCTACTCTGAAGTTTGTCCCACGTCTGATGATCCTGAAGAGATTTTAAAGATGTCGTTATAGATTAGCAATCAGTAAAAGACCCTGTTCTTTGTTTTTACTCACACCTGAAAGGACAAGCCAGATGGTCAAATTGCTCGGACAAGCTTGATTTTCCACGAGCTTCTAATGATAAACGTTTCTTTGCAAGAGGTGACCTCAAACACATGATTCTCCGGAAGGGAGTTGATCCAAACGGGTTTTGTTTTTGATTGTTTTTCATAATGAGACCAAGAGGATATCTGAGAAAACGACATATCTATTCTAGCTTTTTCTAGTGTTGCAAATGTAGTTTCAATGTCTGAAGCTTCTGTCACAGGAAAACAATGCATGAGAGGCAGAAATATTGATTCTGGATAAACTGTATCCTTTGTCACCTTTGCTTTCTTTATTGAAACTAAATATCAGAAAACTTTCATGAAGCAGTCAAATATCTTTTCCCATCCTCCTCTGCCTGTGGTGTGACAGCACATTTCAATATTTGAGACCTCCTGAATGGGTCCTCTTCTATCTTTCCTCAGACCGCCATTCCGGCTCTACCTGCCAGCTGCTAAAAGACATCACGCTGGGATAATTGGTCCCCTTTTCCATTTTTCTTCCCCCTGCCATCCACTCTGCTCTCACTCACACGCTCAGGGGGATAGCAACACGACAATTCTGCATGCTCTGGCTTTCTCTTATCCTCACACACTAACTGCACATTAATTTTCATTCCACAGACCATTAGGACAGTGTAATGATGACATCTGTCACTGGGAGGGGTGTCTGTAAGATGTTAGAAGATGAGGCAGAATTTAGAGAAAGAAAAATGGAAATCAGTCCATAACAAAATAGCCAGAAGTCCTTTTGCCATTTCCCACCTGCAGTTTGAGGGGGAAAAAACAAACAAGCAACCTGATATTCCAATATCCAGAGCTTTTTAAATCCTTTGAAATCAGCAAAAAGGGCTTGTTTAACAATTTTTGATCATATTTGGATGTCAGCGTAATATTGCTTATGGGAAATAATTGAAAATATCTACTTCAAGTGAATGAAAGGTTAAAAAAACATTCTGGTAAAGTTCTGATAATTTTTGTTCTATTTGTAAAATATATATTACTATTAGAAGTTTGCTCATTTCAAATATATATTCACATAAAACATGATTTTTTTTTTTATCTGAAAGATTGGTAATTTAATTTAAAGCAACATAATGAAATATGGAGTCTGATTTTTTTTAAGCAATATCTGATTTTAGCAGGTCGGGTGGCAAGCCTTTCCCCAGGGTTTACTAACAAATAATGACCAATGACCATTTGATGAGGAGACAAAGAAGACTTTCACACAAATAAATATAAGAACAATCAATTTAAGGTTGTGTTACATAGAATAAAAGCTCAAAACTTGGTACTCATTTGCCAAAACTTTGACATATATTATATGTAATCCTCAAATAAGTTAATCTTAACAAGTTATCAGTCACTCAGAAAGTGATGTGTAACTTTGTCATAACTAGTGGAATTTAAGGAATCTCATCAAAATGCAGGTACTTGTTGGGTACTTGTCGCCAGGGCATTCATCGGGTGTCAATTTCCATTCAGGCTCACTGCTGTGCAGTATGTTTCTCTAGCTCAGGCCCCACTTCCTATCACACCGCGCCTTGTGTTTGTGTTCGACTGCCGTTTGTCAGGCTCCACAGAGCTGCGGTTTCTGCTCTCACAGCAATCAGTGTGTCAGCACAGTTATTACATCCACAGGGCCACAAGCATTTAGGAACTGAGGTCTCACTCGGTTGTTTTTTCATAGGTCAAAGCTGAGTCTTTAAGTTCTAAAACATCATATATTTATAAACTGAAATTATTCTAATAGCATAAAGAAACTTGGATTTTAGACACATTGTGGTGTTTTGGAGGTCAAATCCACAAAAAAAACCCAGTATGGGTAAATACTTTTAAGGAAAGTGAGGGCTTGGTTCTGGAAGCTCAATTTATGGAGTCGCATCGTCATAAAATGTGGTGTCAGCCTGCCATCTAGTGGCCACATGATGTTGTGCAGATTACAAACAAAACACAAAAGTGGATGCAGACTTTTCTTTTTTTACTTAAAAAAGACATTATATAAGAGCAATTTCAACCCATGAAAACAAAAAAAGTAAAAATATTTCATTTTTAAAACAAAATGGATCTGTGGCAAACCTGACATTTATTAAAGGGACAACAAAAAAGACAAGTGTCACAATTGTAAATAAATGCCACAAAAATTTTGTGAATAAAAATACAAAACATTAAATCTTTATACAAATTCCACTGTTGATGTAGAAGAATTTCTGCTTAATCCAAAGTTGAATTGCAATGTTTTTTAGGTCACATCCCTTGTAAGTTCATCTTACGTGTAAAAAAAAGAAAAAAAAGAAAAAAAGCATCTGGTTTGATCATGTTTAAGATGATCCAAGGGGATTTCTTGTGCCAAGGTAGGCAAGCACATCATTAACATTTCACATTTCAAAATGAGGATGTGTCCAGATGAGATCACTCCAGTTCCTTGAACCGTGCAAACATAGCTTTGCGTACTGCTTGTTTGTAGGTGGCATGGTCCCAAACAACAGGCTCTTTCTTCCTCTGCTGCAGACCAAAAAGAAGAAAACAAAAAAACTTAGTATACCAATAATAGACTTCAAATTATATGAAGTAGTTAAAAAAGTTCCTATTTACCTGTACAGGCTCCGCCCCTAAACCAGGCCTTTCACTCACTTTGTCTTGTCTTCCATGGTCAGGGAAACAAAAAATATGAAGAAAATGGTAAACCAACTGGTCTTAAATGGCAGGAGCTAAAGCTGCCACAGAGAATGATCCTTTTCAGGCAAAAACGTTCAGCTTACCTGGAGCTCCCAGCCCAGGTATTGTGGTGCTGTGGCTGTTGGTGGTGGTGTTTTCGTCTTTTCTGTTCTGGTGATCGAGAAGTTTCTTTTGCAGTCAGCTGTGGAGAATGAGTTGTTTTTATCAGAAATGTATTATGTAACAACAACAAGTCCCCGTTCTAATAATGTCCACTCACTTCCTTTTCTTGATTCTCCAGTGCTTCAAGCTCCTTCTTTGACCTCTTGATCTTGAGGTGAATCTCCATATTTTGCTGTTGACACATTAAAACAAGAATGAGAGCTCAGCTTAACTTGATGCGTTACTGTCAACAACTCCTCAGACAGATGTTGAGATTTAGTACTTTATGCAGGTCAGAGAGCTGCTGGTGGCGGATCAGTGCATCCTTGTTGGGGAACTGCCTCCTACACAGCAAGCAGGCCATCTTCTTCCAGTCTGTAAGCTTGTCCTCCTTCTCTTCGGAGTGGCTGCTATGACTGGTTTTAGCTACTTCATCCTTATCTTCCTCCACCTCTTCATCACTTCCAGCTCCATAGTCTGATGCCAGCAAACCCAGAGAGCCCATTGGACGCTGAGAAACAGTGCGGACAATATTCAAAATGGAGAAACGCACATCTGTAAAAACTCATTTCCTTGTCATACATCCAGGGATAATCATTGCTCAGGAATGCTGGGTAATCTCTGTCAATTGACCAAACACAGATCACAACGTGAGCCGCCGGCTGCTTGATGAGGCAGACGGACCCGTTTCACTCCAACATCTCTATATCAGTTCTTTCACTGATGTTTTAGGACTTATTTAAAATAAATAAACAAAAAATAAACTAATCTTTCCAAGTCTCACAGATTTACCTGCTATAAAATGTTTTATGAAAATGGTTACAGCCTGACACTATGTGACCGTGGGGCCAACAACACAGCAGGGAGCACTTACCTTAGACTTTTCATCTTTCTTGGCAGGAGCAAGGGGCTTCTTAAAAAGATCTTCTGCACCTGAGATCTTCAACAAATGAAAGAAAAAAAAGAAGTTTGCATTTAAATGGTGAAGCACACAGATTTTATGAGTGAAAATTTTACTGTTTAGATTCAAACCTTTCTCTCAAATATAGCGAAAGCAGCATCGGCTGACTTAGACTGCCTCTTATCATCATCTAATCCAGTTTTACGGACCGGAGACAGAGCCCTGACACTGTCCTTCTGCCGATTCTGGATCTTTGCCCAGCGCTCCATATCTTTCATGATCTGTAAATTGTAGACATATTTCTCAATTATTTGCTCTTAAAATGTATCTTAAGCACATCACATGACTGCATAAGCTCTACCTTCACAGCAGCGAGGCTCCTTGGCTTCTCTTCTTTGTTATCCTTTTCTTTGTCCTTTTTCGCTGAGTCCTCATCCTCCTTCCTGTCAGCGGCTGCTGTGGGAGTGGAGACGGCCTCTGAGGCGGCTGAAATGGGGATTGGTGCCAGGGCTGCTGAAGCTGGATCTGGCACGGAGGGTTTCTTCATGTCCAGAGGAGCATCTGCAGCAGGGTTGGAAAGAATGGCCTGGTCCTCTGCAGTCATCGCTGCAGCCTGGGGGTCTGCGGGGGTCCCTCCTGGGACTGGGATGTACGTCTTTGACAACGCATCCCAGTACAGATACTCCTGGGTTTGAGCGTTGTAGAAATACTAAAACACAAGACGTAAAAACAACTAAATAAATATGGCCACGGCCATCAGTTTGAACATGAAAGATGACTTTAGTGCTGACCTCAAATGACTGATTACTGAATATACAGGACCAATTCATATAACTGCTTTTCTCCATTAAAGCTGAATACCATGTAGATTTACACAGGAAGCAGGAGTATAATACTCTAAACTGTACAGTACTTAATCAGTGCTGCATTGGAATCTCACCCTGGAGTTTGGATCATAGTACAGCGTTGTCTCAGGATCGTAGTAGAAGCCAGACGTGGAATCGTACAGGTAGCTGGACACGTCAGGAGTCTCAGAGCCTTTAGGACCAAATGCATGCGTTTACAAAAAAACTGAAAATATAAAATACAACCTGCACAGAAAATGTGTTTATGATTGAGGTAGTTTTTTAAACATTGTGACAAAAATAAAAAACTTTTAAAAAACTGTTTCCTACCATAAATATAAGTCAGAGCCCCATCTGTGGTGGGCGTTATCCCTGTGGAGTCTGTGGGCACATGAAGTCCACCAGCCGGGTAGGGTAGGATTAAAGCTGGAGGTTCCCCAAAGTCAACTCCCTGTGTGGTGGTGAAGTGAAGATAAGCACCAACGCCGGCAACAAGATATGTACAGCCTTGCTTTTCTTCATAACCTACCTGGCTCATGCTGGCATCTGGTGGCAGAGTAGTGTTGATGCAGCCAGTCATCACATCACCTGGTGACCAAAATGATTGTTTAGAGCAAAGAGTGCCTGACAGTACAATGCCGTACTACATCACTTTGCATGGGATAGGAAAAACTGCTGACATCTGGTTTCTGAGTGCAACAACAGGGTAATTATTCCATCCAGAGTTACAGGATTGTCCAACAAGTTGCTGTAATTCAGCACTGAGGGAAAATGTACTTTAATCTAATTTAATCAATCGGTGTTAGCAAGCGTGCCAGTGGTTAAAAAGCAAGCATTCTGCTTTTCATAAAAAAATAAACAAACAAAAGGAGCTGGGTTGGAGTCACCTTGTAATGTTGTAGGGGCTCCAGTAGGCGGCTGCAAGAACTGGGGAGGAAGTGGCAATGGCAGCTGCTGCTGAAATCCCCCCTAAAGATTTAGGTTATTAATGAGATGCCACAACTTTTCCTTCAACAGTTTGTACAAGCATTGAATGAGGAACCTGACTTACTGCCATCATGCTGGCATCAGGCGGCAGTCCAAGGAGAGAGGTGTTAGATTTATCGAGATCTCTTCTGAAACTAAAACAGACAGAAAGCTAATTAAATTTCTCTAAAGGGCATGGACGATGACAGGACATCTACTACACAGTGACTTACTTCTGGTTCTTCAGGGGTTTTGCGACCTCAGCATAAACTCTGACTCCGTCGATATAAAGGGGCCTGGGTTTAGTTAGCAGCTCCACCAGACGAGTCACTTGCTGCAGAAAGAAGATGCAACGATGTGTGCTGAACAGGTACAAGATCCAAAGTACATGGCTGCGGGTAACTGGGTTGGCTGAGGTCTTGACTGTACCTCATGGGAGTCCATGTCAACAAAGCAGAAGCACTTTGTTCCCGGGGGCTTTCCCTTCACAAGGCGCACGTTTCTCTCATCAAGATACGCATACGGATCCAAGGCTTTAAGGATGGTCTCCACTGTGGTTGTGGGCTTCACATTTTTTATTATCATGGCTGTCAAGTGGCACGGTAGAAAAATGAAGATGAACTGGTGGCATTTTGGCTTGAAAATCTAAAGAACAAAGAGTTGAGACCAACTTACTTTTGCTGTCTTTGAAGACGGAGCTGGACTGCTGGGAGCTTTGGGGAGGAGGGTTGCGGCCGCTCCAGGACTCTGCCTGTTGCTCGCTTTCCTGTTGCTGGAGCTGCTGGTCCACCTGCTGTTGCCAGGCCTCTGGGGTCAGGTCCGACATCCGCTGCCACTGGTTGTGTGACAGCTGCTCCATGGGACCTCTGGGGCTGGACCCATTGCGGTCCATCTTCAACTCTCCTAAAGGAACATCTGATGTGTGCAACTGGGAATCTTGAGGTTGACGTGCTTTGTGATCTGATTCCTGATTCAAATAAGAATCAAAAGAAGGAATTTTATTGTTGTGAATACAATTCTCGTGGGGGTCTCATTAGCTCAACTGGAGGCCATAATTTGTCAAACAGTATACATGCTTGACCTTAATTAAGAATTCTTGAGCAAAGTTTTCTACTTTACTGATTGTCTGTCTGTGGTTGACCTTCCCCTTATCTTTGGTGACAGGATATGTGATAAATACAACCTGATGAGAATCTGTCAAAACCTGAAAATAGCATTTCTAAGTCCCAACACTCATTGTTATAATGTTCAGCCGGGATAATTAGTGTATTTAAACATTTCAGAGGATATGCAATATTTCTATTATATATTGCTTTCACAAAATGCTAAAAACTAAAATATTGTAGATATAACACTCACATGAACATTCCTTTCACACTCATCAGGCTGGATAAACTTCATAGAAGTCGTTCTAGTGCCAACCTTTAGGGATCCCTGGAAGAAAAACAGAAAACCCCACTCAGCACTTTACTTTATAAGCTGCAAAGTCAAACATAATACCAACATGCCCTATGGCAGGTTTAGTCTCTTTTTAATGATGAGGAGAAAATGGCCCGGCGTTCAAGGCAGTGTGCCAGGACCGGGTCTAAGGCTTCGCCTTTTCCCCTTAAACAAGGAGAGCAACTAGGGGTTGTTTTCATTATTTACCTGTCCGCTACAGCGTCCACTCATGAAAGGGAATGCTTGATTTGCGCGATGTCCGAAAATAGGGGAAACCACCAGTTTTTTCAAGCCAAAAGCGACACTCTCAAAATGCTTTTTGTGAGATCGAAACTAAACGATAACTAGAGAAAATAAAAAGCAAATCCTGGATGGAAAGGCTACAACCACAGACCGTTCAACCATCACACCAATATTTGACTGTAAACATCTATATCTATATAGAGAGATATATAGATATACATGCATAATTTGTTTTTGTGCAATGACAGCGAAAGCTTTATTTTTTCTGACTCTGGTATCAAGAAGACTCATATCTGGTCGCCAAAAGGAAAAGTAGAATTTCTTTGTGCCAAATGAGAACCACACACTCAGCAATTCAGAAACACAAACCACACTTTCTACCACATAAAACTAAATCAGCCCAACTTCTACTGCAGTCTGCATTTCAAATGAAGACTGGCCTTATTGCGTGTTAATTCCACAGTATCTCTGTTATAGAAGGTATAATTAACCATGGGATTCAGAAATGGACACAATTGACCATCAAGGTCCGTCAGCATAAAAAGCACAAAACCGGACCCATTCCTCGCAAACCTGGGTGCATCATTTAGTTTCTATTTTTAGTCTGATGCAAACAACAATAAATACAGCAAAGGAGAAAGGAAATTATGCAAAAGTAACCAACAAGTAAAACATGATAAAGGCTAGGTGTTTCAGCAATTATCCAACTCATTTAATCTCCAAATAGGAGATCTCTGCTTTTTTTGCTCTTTGTTCTTTTAAAAACATGACCACTGCATAATCATGTTTCCTGTGAAGATTGATACAAATCAGAAGGAGTCAAATTCATTCAAGAACTGCTGCAATCAATACAAAGCATGCTGAAATCAAAGTTCTCTAAAGTACCACTGAAAGGATGTTCACACCTTTGGAGGAAAGACAAAAAAAAAAATAAAAAAAAAAAAATCACAAATGACTCATGAGGAACTGGTAGAACAGCTCTGTGCTGAGGGGAAGGTGAAGAATTCTGAGGACAAATAGGCAGCAGCAACTCCTATAGTTTAGTGAGATGCTAAACAAAGAATTACACCTGAAAGTGGTGCATGAAGAAGAATGAGAGGATCAAAATCCACAAAGCTGGAGAACATCCCAACCAAAGCTATCAAAAAACTGTGTTGCTAGAGGAAAAGTAACATCCCTTAAATCAGCAGTTTCTCACACGGTAACTAGCTGAAAACATTTAAAGGTAAGCAACATAATACCTACCAAATCATTGGATTAAAACCAAAACATCCTCATGTTTGTCTGACAGCAAAAACAAACTACGAAGGCAAAGCATCTAAATGTTTTTTCGACCTCTAAAGTAAAACTTCCGTGCAGCTAAAAACCGACAGAATATTGATTCACCATTTATGTGACATTAACAGAAAAGATTAATAAATCCTCTGAACGACTGTGCAAAAGATCCCTTTTCCAAAATGCCTTTCTGAATTCCTAAATCTCAATAAGAGTCACTTTCAAATAAGTCGTCCAAAAACCGCTGTCCAACACAACTTTCCAGGTTCTAACCATCCGGCACTTAAGCAGAGGCTACTTATAAAGCCTCCTCGTCCTTTGAAAACAAGCCAACCTCGTCAGCCAGTGGCAGCAAAAACAAGAACAAAAAAAATGTATGACGGTAAGGAAAAAAAAAAAGTCGTCCTAACGTTGCCCCTTAAATCTTTTGAAAGACTGGTCAGTGTTTAAATCTGCAGCTGCTTCCTTGAAAAAGAGAAATCAGTTCACGAAAAGTCTTACAAGTGTCGCGGACAACTTTCTTTAGATCACCCCTGCGTTTAAACCAAAATCCCATCAGAAAAAAGGCAGCCCAGTAAAGAAACTTTAACTTCAAAGTTGATGTTCCTCATAAACGTATATCAAGTAATCCAATGGATTGACTGTAGTGACTTTTAAAAAAAAACTATTCCAGAGTAAGGTCGTCTGCAGCTGCAATTTAAAAAGTAAAGATGGGATGGCTTTACCCAAAGGAGGCAAAGCTATTTTTTGCCTGTGTAAACACAGTTTCCAAATAATACTTTTCTAAATCCTTAACTAAATAGTGCAGAAGGACTCGACAGGAAACCTTTAGTACTGCGTCCATGGTGGCTCTGCATAACTATGCAAGATCAGGACCAACTGTCGACAAACATCTCATGTCCTGCACCAAGATAACGTCAGTAATAATAGCAACCCTTTCCCAGCTTCTTCCCCACCCCCTGCTACTGAATGCCCTCTCAACCCCTCGTAATCCTGATGGGAGAGACGGCCTTCGTAGAGTGACGAGGATGGGCCACCTTGTTGGACTCCATGAAGTGGACTGCATCCTCGAGGTTTAAAAACTCCACATAGGCCATATCGTAGCTGTAACCTGGGGACAGCATTTGAAATACAGATGGATTTTTGTTAGTCAATTCCAGTAATGACAGTCACCCAGTGAAACATAAAAGCATTCGTGAATACATCGAGATCGGTGCGAGCGAGTTTTCACACTTTTACTGAAACACATACCTTTCTTGGGAGAACATTTTGTGTGTATGTTTGTTTGTTTGTTTTTTCCCTAGGTCAGAATAGCGATGACCGAAAATGCACCAGACTTTCCTTTGACAGAATATGATAGGGCCAAGCCTTAAAGGAAAAATATGCCAGACCACTGGCAGTAAACCTTTGCAGGGCGAGCACCATGAAGAATTCATGGTAACATCGAATTGATAGGAAGCACTTCTTTCTGAGATGCTGTTCTGGTACATTCATGGAAAAAAAAAAGCTTGAATTTCAGAAAAAGGCTTGGCATCAGGCAGGCACCGTGTGTACATCGAACCACAGAGGAAAACTCGTACTCTACCGCAGTAGGAACAAAGACTAACCACAAGGCAGTTTCCATTTCAGGTTTGCTGACTCATACTTTTCAGAGTGCTCAGAAATAAGGTCCGCACAGAACAAATTCAACGGGACACTCGTCTCCTGTGACCAACACTGAATATAACTCTCCAAAAGCTGATGATATTGAGTCCTCAAAAAGATGGGAGAGCAGGACCCCCCCAGCCCCTACCCCCCACCACACCCGCCCTTTTTGTTTTTCTGAACAGGTTCACGCACATCACCATCAACAAAAAGCAACAGAAAACAACAAAAAAACAAAAAAAAGAATACAGGAGGCGAAGTTTCGGATGTCGTTAAAGCGAAATGTTGAGGGACATGTTATCGGTCGACTGCCCCAAACAAACCCGCAGGGGATTCCAACTCTTACCTGGCACAACATTTTTGATTTTCATCCCCTGCATTGGCACGCCATCTCGGGTTGCAAAGGCACCAAGAATCTGCAAAAAACAATATTAACCTCATTTAGTTACGCAAAGATTATCCACACCTGTCAAATTATCAAGCAAATACTTATTCATGTCCTATTACCTGCTCCATTGTGGCGTTCTTTGGAATACCTGAGATGGATATAATATTTGAAACTTTGTCCTTCAGTGAAGCGTTCCTGTAATCCTGATCCTTTCAGAGAATGGTCATGAATCATTATGATGAACAAAAATCATCAGATGATGCATCTTTTACCTCAAGATGATAACAAAAAAGAAGAGAAAGAAGCATACCTGGGAACCAGAATCAGTGAACTTTGTAGGCGCCGTTGGTTTGGAGTCTTTGAGGAGTTTTTCTGGAGCTTGAAGTTCTTCATGTTTGTATTCAAACACTCTTCCAGATCCTGTCCGATAATCAATGTCCCTGTAGTCTTGATCTTTTGCCTGTACTGTACTGCTGCTTAGGAAGTCATGTTCTTCCCCAAGCTTATCTCTGGGAGGTCCATCTTTGATTCTTTTAAAACAATCACTGGGATCCTGAACCTCATGTGAGGGCTGATTCTTCTCTTGATGGAAAGTGGATCTGTCAGCGCTATTTGGCTTATTCTGAGCATACTTTGGGTCCCTTTCTCCAAGCCACTGATTATTTTCTCTATCCATACGGCCAGTTAGGGGACCTAATTCTGGGAGCAGATGATCCGGTGGACCACGGGGAAAGCCAGCAGCTTTTGCTGGGAAGCCAACAGGTGGCTTATTCCTATCATGGAAGGGTGGTGGATTGCGAATGTTAAAGCCTACAGGGAAATTGGGATCTGGTCCAGGCCCTATACCTTTACCCATGAAAGGACCCTTGTCCTTCTGCCGGTTCTTCCATTCTTCTGCAAGAGTCATTTCCTCACCACTTCGATAATCCATAAGAGGACTACCACTTGATTCTTGATACTCTCTCTTGCCAACTGCGTCTCCTGCACCCATAAACTCTGATCTTTGAGGACCAACAGCTTCTGAGGGCACATCTGATGTTTCCCTTTCTGCTGTAGGAACATCACTCTTTCCAAACCTTAAAGGTGATCGATCTCTAGCTCTAAATTCCCCTGATGGTCCAGGTCGGTTTCTAAAATCCATATCCGATTCAAATCTACCTCTTTGATTGAAAGGTGGGCCTACTCTCCTGTCAGTGTCCATCATTCTCCTGTCACGTGGAGGTAAATCCATGTCATAATCAACATCATCCATGCCCATTGGAGGCCTGTCATGCATATCCCTAAATCCATCATTTCTTTCCGTTCGATCCATAGGAAACCCCCTTCTTCCATCAACATTAGGATTGTGAAACCGAGGTTCAAAATGACCTGACTCCCTGTCCATAAATCGGTTGTTTGAATCCCGTGAATGCATACCCCTCCCCCCCATGTCTCCCAAGTCCCTACCTGGTCCTGGGAAACCAGGGGGATTCATTGGTTTATCTCTGAAGGGACCTTCCATGGGCCTCCTGGGGTTGAAGTCTTGCTCTGCTCCAGGTCTGAAGAAATTTGGATTTGGCTCTCTTCCTCGCATATCATGTGGATCCATATCACGCATCCTCATGGGGGGACCATCCATCCTCCTCATGTCCATAGGTGGTATATCTGGATGCATCAAACCCATAGGACCCATGGGACCCATAGGACCCATGGGGCCCATGTTCATTCCATCTCTGCCTCTAAAATCTGGCATTGGACGATCTCTTCCCCCAAACATCTCTCCACGGTGATCACCACTGGAAAGCACATAAACATATTAGGCTAGAGTTTTGCCTGAGAAGCACACTAAGAACTACTAAGTAAGAGACATTCTCATAAGAGTTAATAGGAAAAGCTCTATGTCTTGTGATACAAATGTAATAGTACATTATAGAAATGATAATAAATAAAGTTTTAGGAATATTGTCTAGCTTTTGTTCATTTCAAGGAAAGGAGGGGGGGTGGCTGGAGCCTATCCATCTATTCATTTGTTGTTGTTTTTTTTATTTCCGGCCTATGTTTCTGACTAAAGGATGCTTTCTTACCGAAATGGTGGTCCTCCCCGTGGTCCTTGGCCTCGCCCATCCCACATATTTGTGAGTACGTATTTGACCTATAAGCAAGACGAGCGGTTTGCAGAATTGAGAGAGGCATGACAGAGCTTATGTGCTGGACAATGACATGTCTATACATTCTGATAAACCTTACGGCACACGGACGTGACAGGATAAGCCCAGTTTAAACAAATGTCGCAATTTCGATAATGACAAAACATAATTAATATAATTATCTTCACATGTGTAATTGTAATAATACAGCAAGTGTTATATGTAAAAAAGGGACAAATAACGTCAAATAAGAGATTAAACCCGTGCGCAGTGTGACTGCTAATGGTGGTTCAACATTGGCCCGCTAAATGTAGCCACCACTAGGCCTTCCTAATCTACGCCACATGAAGAAAACAGATAACGCAAGACACGTAACTGACAGCACAACACACGTATCAATGGGAAGATTATAATAAGATGGCAATATATCGGGGAGTTAATAAAAGACATCGTTTTGGCTCAGAGCGACAAAGCCCTTTTTTCAGAAGGCTCTGGGCTTGCTAACATTTTTAAAAATGTTTCTTTAATTTGGCTTGGAATTGAACGGGTGGTTATCAGCTATTTAATCATCCCCGGGTTGTCATTACAAAGACTCACCTTAGTTGTTTTAAAACCTCACTTCCTATTAAGTCGTTTCTATCGGTAAGATCGTCGATGAAAGAACTATTGAGAAAAAAATGGAGGTCGATATTCTTCTTCTTTGGATTCTTCAACAGAAACGAAGCTTCGACTTCTTCTCCTTTACAAAACAGATTACTCAACTATTTGCTGCCCTCTTCAGTTTGTTTTAAGTGCTCATCTAATGCAAATCTGTCTCCCTCAATACACACATATATTTATATATGTATGATCATGTTTTTTTATACTGTCAATAGGCTTACAAGTGCACATCCAAATCTACTTAAAACTTTTAGGTGTCTATTATCGTTATTATTAGTATGCATGTATGCATGCAGTTTTTCCACTGAGAGGGAACCTGTCTTTATTTAACCTTTCCACCATATTCAACCCCATCGTTATTTGCAGTTTTATTCGTTTTGCAGAACACTTTCTATTTTGATCCTCCTGGAGCTCCATTATTTGCAAAAATGATCTGCTTCTTTGTTTTCCTCTGTGCCTATGCACTGTTAAGCAAATGAAAGCTTCATATAAATCGCAACCTGCTTTGTGTATATTGTGTATAATGCATGATGAATCCCTGACAGCTTAAAGATGCTGCCAAATCGCTTGAATAATTACACATAATTGTGTTGTCTGGTTGTCATCCTCCACCCACCACACTGATCATAATATTGCCAATCTCTCAACAGTGAACACTGACATCTGATGTCCTTCTTAATTCAAGACTCTTTAATCGAAGTGTTTATATTAATCTTTGGATTATTTTATGATCCAGCTGTAAACATTTGTAAATGCGCTGTCCTATTTTGATTCTGATAAAATCTCAGTCCATGAATATGTTCCTTGGATATTTATTTTACATAATCAGAGAGCATATTCCAAAGTCTAATCTGCCACAATTTTGCATGCAGGCTAAATCAACAATTAGTGAGTACAGTGGCTGAAATATACTATTAATACAAAGATTTACCTTTGGACAAGGGAAAAATAACAGTTGCTACAATATATGTATCAGTCATTTTATTCATTCACAAGCATTATAGCATCCAATTAGCTCAGCTAAGTGATGCTAAATACATAAATGATTTAAAAAATACACACATATACATATGTAATGCAACTATACATATTTGTATGGTATAAGGACTCTGCATTAAACTGTTAAATTTTAATTACAAGTTACAACACAGCAACGACTAAAACATCACACCATTGAATGCCCTACATCTAGTTTCCTGTGTTTTTAAATAACTGTGAAAGAGGCCACAACTACAAAAAATCGCTACACCAACTGAAGACCCTAACAGAAGAGCAATGAAACAGCTAAAACATTTCAGTGATTTCAATAAACTTTTATGATCACGTCTAGAATCATGACTGCAAACAAATATTAAGGCACTTTAACTTAAATATGTGCTGTCTTGCCATCTTAAATTATAGCACTAAACCTGCAGATTAGAAAAGTCATTCTCAAAGAAAGGACGGAAAACTTCTCATGGACAGTGTCGTGGCCTGTGTTGCTTACGATTCTGAATCGTCACTGTGAATACTTATCCTCAATTGGTTTCTTTTTGAACAGTCCATCACGTATCTTCCAATTAAAATTTTGCATGCATCAACTTTTCAACTGTCCTTTGATGTAATGTAAGGACAGTAGAAGATTGAACTCCAATATGCTGGGAAGAGTATACATTTCTATCATTGTCCTTTAAACTTAACTGTAAAGTAATGAAATAACCAAATCTTTCAACTCATAATTTTACATCACAAGATATAAACTTATACTTGTAAATTCTACTGCTAAAAACTAGCAATTTGCTGAGGTGAATACATCTATGTGCAATGACTAAATGAATATAAATTACTTCATTTCACTAGATTACTCTATGAGTGACATATTACTTGATGAATTTATACAGTTTTCAAGGGAAAGGGCAAACAACATATGAGCTACTTTGCAACAATCTTTAAAGGGAACTGTACACAAAAGAACAGGAAGAAAGGGGAGTGGTTTTCACTATCAATCAAGTGGCACAAGGGACAAAAGATAATGGTGTTATGGTACAATTTCTCAAACTGGGGGTAGTCAAACAACACAAACACAAAATTATGATGCCAAATTTATTGGCGGTACATGTACTTGTTGGCCAGCAATGGTCTGTTTCTTTCTTTTTTTTTCTTTTCTACTTGATGGGGACCTACTCTGCTTTTCGTTGCGGCAACATCTGGGGAGCATCTCCGTTGCAGCGCGCCTGCTGTTGCTCGTCCTGCCGGGCTGCATCGGACAGAGGGGGCGCAGAGATGGTTGCAGTCTGTGTGCCCGGAGCCTTTTCTTTGAGAGCAGCTCTCAGGCTAACAGCAAGGCTGTTCCCACTGCCTGCAGGCGGAGCAGGAGCACCGCCGGATGTGTTCGGGTCAGCCGTAGCACCTGCAAGGTCAGCAGCCCCGGAGTCCCCCTGCTGAGGGGCTCGAAGTCTCTTCATGAGGGTAGTCACTCTTACGGCTTTCTGATAATAATAATGACCAAAAAAAACATAGACAGTAATAAAGCAATATACAACCACATTTATAAAGTATGCTTTTTGGTCAAATGTTCACCATCTTCTGATGCTGTCAAATTTTAAAAAAACAATATGGGTCCGGTAAAATATAGGATGTGTTTGAGTAGGATGTATTTGAGAAGCGTTACCTTCCACTTTGCTTTGACAAAGTTCTTCTCAATCTGTGCACAAACACCGTCTTTGATGTTCTTATCTGAGGCAGCATTTCCAGAAATCCTACAGAAGACATAATTCAAGAGTGTAAAGAAGAGAAAAAAGAAAGGCAACAACAGCTCTTTTGCACACTCAACTTACTGTTTTCTTTTATTTACCATTCATGGGCTATGGCTTCCTGAGCAGTCAATCGCTGATCTTGGTCCACGTCCATCAAAGATGCCACCAATGTTTTGGCTGTTGGTAAAAAAAAGGAAAAAAGAAGACCAAAGCGAAAGAAAATAAGTATGGTGATGACTGATAAATCCTCATGACTGTAAGTATTTATCTCTTACCAGAGTCTGAAATATCATCCCAGTATGGGGAATCAAATTCATATTCTCCTGACAAAATCTTCAGGAAAAGGTTTTTATCCCGATTATCAGAGTCATCTTCTGCATCATCATAGAAAGGAGGGTTTCCAGACAAACTGTTGAGTCGGGAAAATAGTTAAATACATTTAAAAAAAGGTCAACAAAAACTGTCTATACAGCAGTAAATATGTCAGGGAGTACTTACAGTATATACATGATGACGCCTATGGCCCAGCAGTCCACAGGTCTTCCATATCTTTGCCTCCCAACCACTTCCGGAGCTAAAAGAAATAAGCATTCTTTAATATGCTGTAAACTAAATTAGCACATTTTTTTCTGTGAGATTAAAGTTTTAGCATAAAAGAAAATACACTGGTGTAAACTCAGGTGTTGTGTCTCTCACCGAGATACTCCGGAGTTCCACAAGGGTCTTTAATGAGTCCATTCTCCAGTTTTGCCAGCTGAAAGTCGCTGATAACAATTTTGGAGTGCTTCAAACGATTAAAGTATACCAAGTTTTCCAGCTGCACGAATAAGCAAATACAGAATTACAAAACCAACAGACCTTCAATCAGATGTACAAATGGTGTTTCATGTCTGCAAAGGTTCATAAATATTTATTTGAGCCTTTTTAATTTGTCCTGTGGTGAAATGCTGCTGCTTTTCACTAGGTGTCAGCAGTGGAATTCACCTTGAGGTTCCTGTGGACGATTCTCAGGGAGTGCAGGTAAGCCACAGCCTCCAACACCTGTCGCATAACATTGCTGGTGTCCCTCTCTGAGTAGTAACCCTGATCCAAGATCCAGTCGAACACCTCTCGTCCTGTGGCTCTGACAAGAGGAGACATACACATTTGACATGTCAATCACTTGTGACATACTAGTGGAATGTATACAAAAAAAAATAATTAAACAAAGAAAGTACTTTGCAGACAGAGGAAATTTTTTTCTGTAATGTCTAAATGGTACTCACAGCTCCAGGAAAATGAAGTACTCTTTCTTTGTTTCGAATGCATCTACCAGCAGAAGGATGTTGTGATGTTTTACCCTTCAAGTAGCAGAAAAGACATCAAAGATGGGGAAGAAAAGGGATGCAAAAACAAGACAGTGACCCAAATAAAATACTAGAAATACATGATGGTTAATGTAATACTGATAAATGCAGCAAAATTTGGGAAAAACAGCCACAATGGCAACATTTGTCTTTGTAAAGGGACAGTGTCTTTGACACGCTCTAAACTGAGGAGCTCAGCACTTTGCTTACATCTTTAAAATCATTATCTCATTCTTGGCAGCTTTCCGCACTTTACGTCCGTCTTTTTTGTGAAACTTTTTACACGTGTACATTTTCAAGGTGGTTCTATCCTTCGCCCGAAATATCTCACAAAACTCCTCTCTGTGAAAAAGATGACAATACACAGCTTTGTTATATTCCCAGCACAAACTTTTCAGTCTCAATCCGTGTCAGGATTTATTGCAGCGCAGATGTACTCACGATTTAACAATTTGTCCGAGGTCATATTTTTCAGTCACCTCTGAGGGACTGTTGTAATCCTTGTTTTCTCCGAGTGTCAGACAACCAAATGGCATGGCAGCTTGTGCCCTAGCCAGGGAATGTCCTGCCACAGCACAATCTAGAAAACAAGGAGAAGCATCTTCTGAACAGTAAGACACAGAGATGCACACAGTGCAGTCTACAGTGATCATAGCTCAGCTCTCTGTAATAAATGTAAAAAAAACAATACAACAGAAAATGTAGCAAACATTTGTTGACAGATAAACAGCTTCATTTATGACTAACAGACTAAAGGAGCCATCTCTCAACAGTGTACTCAACACAAAATGATCGCAGTAAATCATTAAACACATTTACAGGAAGAGGTCTGGACTTCTGATTAGTTCTCTCCATGAAGCCTTTTTCAGGCATACATCTGAGGATACTGTAGCTATGTGTAATTGAGCCAGTGGGAACAAGTTATTGCAAATTACTGCAAGAGCAACACAACATAAAAATGAATCATTTCAATAATGTAGTTATCTGCAGTGAGCCTGTTTCCTTCCACTCCGCAGTGAGTCAACCTTGTACTGCAGCAACAGCAGCTGCTGCAGCATTCATTTCACTGCTTTAGACAATAAAGATTCAGCTGACCACGTAAAGAAACTGTCATTTCCATTTGCTTTTAAAAGCAGAGAGATTCCCCAAATGCATTTAATCTTATAGGAAAGAATGGCATAGAGTTTAGTATTTCAACTTCATTTAACACTTTAACAATCCCCAGTTATTATGAATCCAATTCTATAGTTTAGTTTCTCATTTACACTTTCAGCTAATGGGGGAAACATAATAAAGTAAACAATTCTTAAACTTTGAGTTTTATAACAAATATCTGTTTTAAAATAGACCATTATACTATTATCGATGTGAAATCTAATACAATATATAAATAATTATTTATTTTTGTCAGTAAGGGCTCAGTACATTTTCATAGAAATAATTTTAGTGTTTAAAAAAAAGTATAATTGTCTTTCTTTGTTTCCTTGCCACTATAAGTCATTCATGGAAATTTATGAATTCATTGAAAGTGAATTTGGGTGGAAAAAGACATGTTTCTGGAAACCTTTTACGGTTTAAACAAACAAAAATAAGTAAGATTGAAGTCACTCAGGTTTAAGTGCGACAGGTCTGTAAGTTAAATCCTATGGATTAAAAATGTATGCATGATCATGGCCATTTCAAATAAATGGGACAATTACATTACTTGTTATTTGTGTTAGGCCTATCCTCACATAGAAATAAACAATTTAGGGGAAGAAATTTCTCTTTTAGAATACATTCAATTGATCTTTTAAAAAGCGGATTCAATACTACACACCACTTTTCCCCCATTGTTGTAGTTAGCTATTAGCAAATGAAAGTCATATATCTGACATACACACATATGACTTCAACTTAGAATTTGGGTGACTTAAGTTGCAGCTGCTCTGAGGAATACTACACAGGTTCAGCTAAAACTAAAAAAACTGCTCACAAAGGCTGCTTGTATGGAAAACAGACAGACTTTTTTTTGGCAGATCTTTCAATGGAAATGGCATCCAGTACAGAAGAGTGGGAGTACAGAGATTTTGACTGTCTGTAGCCTGAGTCAAGACCAGAGACAGAGATTTTTCACAGCTATCATGCCCAAAGGACTAGTATAAAACAACTATAGTACAGAACTTGTGATTTTTAATGAGATCATCAAAATGAATGGAATATTGAATTCCCCACAAGAATTTAGATAGATAGATAGATAGATAGATAGATAGATAGATAGATAGATAG